TGCTTAGGACATGTTTAAACACTAGTTTGATGTTTTTTGAGTTTTAATGTGGATTTATTGAGCCTAATCAACTATTTTGAGTATAAAAATACTTCTTTTATAATATATGAGTTAAATATTAAATCCTTTTTGTGTTTAAAAGATTATGAATGAATTTTCAGAAGTAAAATAAGATCTGAAAATAATTAAACATGTGCTTTAACTTAGTTTTGATGATTATATCGACGTTTTGATGTTTTCATGCATGTTTAGGGTTTACACGTAAAATAAGATCTGAAAATAATGTTGTGGTTCTTGTTTCATATGTTGAAAAATCTTCAGAGATATCCTCTAATACTTGGTTGACTCTCTTTGTCTGTCCGTCTGTCTACGGGTGGAACACACTAGAATACGACAACTGGCTACCGAAAGATTTCTGAAAACTCCTCCAAAAATTTGAAGTGAAAACTAAACTCGGTCTGATACAATCGTCTCTAGAACTCCATGTAGTCTCATGATCTCCTGAATGAATATCCTCGCATAATTTTTTGCTATATAAGTCGTCTTCACTGAACGATATTGAATCGTAAAAACTCATAATCCTTGATAAATTTGACCCATCGTCGTTGTCTCTGGTGATCCATGAATAGCTCAAACTGTACTCCGTACATGTAATGTCTACGTGTCTTCAATGCAAAGACCACTGTTGCTAGCTCCAAGTCATGCGTGAGATAATTCTGCTCATGCGTTCTCAACTGTCACAAAATATAAGCCACTACTCTCTGGGTCTACATCAAAACACCTCCTAGACTCGCTAACGACGCATCCATGTAGACCACAAATGTCTTATCACTGCTCAAAATAGTTAATAGTTGCGCTGTAGTTAACTTAGCCTTTAAAGTCTCAAAGGTATCTCGACACTCTGTGCCCCAAACAAATGGTACACTCTTCTTTATTAAGGTGTGTAAGTGGCGTCGCAATCTTTGAGAAGTCCGGAATGAACTTCTTGTAATACCGGCCAAACCTAAGAAACTACGAATCTCTGTAACCGTCTTTGGTAGCTCCCAATCAAGTATTGCTTTCACTTTAGTTGGATTAACTGTAATACCCTCCTTGCTGATAACATGGTCAAAAATCTTACCTCAGATAGCCAAAACTATAATTTACTGAACATGGCGTATAACTGATGCTCCCGCAAAGTCTGTAATGCCAAATGAATATGCTGCTCGTGCTCTACCTCCAATCTCTAACAGATAAGGATGTCGTTGATAAAACAACTACAAACTGGTCCAAACGTGGACGAAAAACCCGGTTCAACAAATCCATGAATACCGCGGGTGCATTGGTCAGCTCAAATGGCATGATAAGAAATTCGAAAGACCCATATCGAGTCAGAAAGATGATTTTGGAAATATCTATTTCCCGCCCTCGCAATTGAAAATAACCAGAACAAAGATTAATTTTTGAGAAATACTACGCTCCTCGCAGCTAGTCAAACAAGACATAAATCCTCGATAGTGGTTACCTGATCCGGGAAGTGACGTTGTTCAATTCACGATAATTTATACATAATCGCATGCTACCGTCCTTCTTCTCCACAAAGAGGACCGGTGCTCCTATAAAAATGACTTCGGCAAATAAAATCCTGAGTTAACAACTCATCTAGCTGAGTCTGTAGCTTCCTCATATCAGCAGGTGCTATACAATAAGGTGCTCGGGATATCGGTACTGTGCCCGGCTGCAACTTGATGCAGGACTCAACCTCTCTCACTAGAGGTAATCTAGGTATGTCCTAAAAGACATCCTGATACTCTGAGATAACTCCGGTCTTGCTCAAATCTATACCTCAATCTCGTATCATCACCTTCTCGACATATGCTAGAAATGACTCTGTATTCTGTTTACCCTATGAGGTTGCTACTATCTATTCAAATACATCGAATGCTCACAAACTGACTGTGTATAGATATGGAAAAATTCAAGTGACTAACAATTTATGACTAACTAAAATTCAAGTGCCAAACAATTTGTCAATTCTTATCTATGTATAGATATGGAAAACAAATTTAATAATAATTAACAGTGCTCAATCATCTATTATCCTGATGATGATCAATCTTGCTGAGTCATCTATCATATGAGGTGATGTAAGAAATTCTAATACACTATACTTCCAAAATACATTAACATATTTCAAATACACACAAAATCTTCCCCCATCATCCCAACATCCTCTCTGTCTCATGTCCTACTAACATCCAACACCATTACGAATTCTATATCAAACATTTGCATCATTGTCATCAACCATAAGAAATAACATCTAAATCTCAAAGAATATTGACCCTTGATCAACATCAAAGACAAGATGAACATACCAGTATCACCAAGATAGGGTTGTTGGTTACATAGAATTTGCTATATCTACAGAGCACCAATGAAAATATGACTCGTTCAAATTGAATAACAATTAGTGATGAAACTTTAGTAGAATTTTACCCAAATGTAAAAGGAATAACCACCCAATATACCACCTAGTCAAAACTGAACGAACTCCAAAAAGCCGAATTTTATTTTCTCTCTTTGCTAGAAGTTTTCCTTAAAACTCGAAATCAAAGATGGTGATGGCAAGGTCTTTAAAGAGGGATGAGAGATCAACGGAGAGTATTATTGGATGATTAGAGAAGGAGAAGCGTGTGGAGATAGAGAAGGAGATGGAGCTATGGCAATTGGTGTTGGTTAGAGTTCTCGATTTTAAAGAGGCGGCCCATTAAGGTTTTTGTTTAATAGTATTAATCTCCGACGACATCAGCCCTCCTCCGACGACATCAGCCCTCCTCCGGCGAGACTCGTTGCCGCCGTTCCCCAAATCCGCTCACGAGATCTCGAGCCTTCGCCTGCAACAGAGCCGTCGCTTCCCCATATCCGCTCACGAGTTCTCGAGCACTCCTCCAACGACATCAGCTCACAAATCTCGAGCCTTCGAAGGAGGAGGTCGACGAGATCATCCTTCTGAGCCGCCGCTTTCTCGAACGTCGTGCTGCTGATCTCGCCGTCATCATTCTCGTCGTCATCCTCGCTCGGACTCGTCCTCATCCTCCCTCGGTCTCGTCGTCATCACTCAGCTCGTCGTGCTGCTGATCTCGTCGTCGTGCTGCTGATCTCGCCGTCGATTTGAAGCTGATCTCGCCGTCGAGCTGATCTCGTCGTCGATCTGGTGCTGATCTCGTCGTCATGAGCCAGAGTTCGTGAGCCAGATCCACTCATCCTCCTCTGTGAGCCAGAGTTCGTGAGCTATCCTCTCTCAGGTGAAATCCAGTCCCAATAAAAACCCAATAATAATTTTTGTTAGTTGGATTGAGTTAGTTGTTTGATAACAAGGTCTTTATTGAGAATTAACATTAAAACTGCCATATCCATCCCATCTGAAATTACTTCTTGGAAAGTTGCTATGATACTTGTAGGTTTTTCTGTAAACAAGTTTAGCATATATTATGATGGTGTGTCAAAGTTTCTTTTGTTAACCTTTATCATTGATCTATATTCTCTGAAAATTTGGCTGAGTTATTTAAGTTTTTTTCTATATTGAAATATAGGAAAAACTGACTCGTATAAGGGTTACTTAAGATTTTTCCATTTAAGTGGCTATTCAACCTATGTTTATCAAGCTCAATGGAATTGTTTTGGGGGTTAAACCAGCCTATTGCTTACTTGAAATTAGATATTTTAAACAGTATTACATACTTATATGGGAAAAGGAGTTTAGAGTTATTATATCTTATTTCCTAGAGCAGAATATAACTAATAGCATTTGATGATAAATGCCACCATATGTATCACTTGCTCTGTTTCCCCCTTCTGGTTGCTTCTTCACTTATTTAAGTGGTCAGCTTTGGCTATTTGTAGTAAGAAGCATCACAGCATAAGTATATTACTGGAGAAACTAATCAATCTTGGTACAAATATTTGGTTTCAGATAGAAGTGCCATATACATTTGTATCTGTAGCCACAAATATTCATGGAGTCATCTTCAAGCAATCGTCATGGACTGTTGTGCCATTGTGGAAGGAGGGCTATACTCTCTAGATCTGGAACTAAGACGAACCCCGTGTCAAGTGGAGAATTGCGGGAAAAGAGAAAGATTGAGATTGATATTATGGATTTGTTGAAGTTTGTTGTATTTGTGCTAAGTAGAGTAAGAATGTATTATCCATGTCGCCTTTGAATGGATTTGTGTGTGGTGGCTTGAGTTATTTTTGTGGCTAAAGAGATGATGTTGTTGATTCAAAGGATTCAGATGAGGCCCTCTATAGAAAGCAATTGTCACAACACCAGCTAAGCAAATTGCCACACCATGTGTAGTGAATATACACCAGCTAAGCAAATTGTCACAACACCATGTGCTGATTGGAACATGTGAACATGACCAGGGTAATATATATGAGTGAGGGTAATCATATTCATCCATCTCATTCTTTGAGTGAGGGTAATATATATGAGTGAGGGAAATTTCAACTCAAACAAATCACATTTAAAGGGCACCCACAGCAGAACGACAGCAAAAATGGAATGCCCATGACCTCAACCCTTGTTTTAGTGCACAACAATTACACTAGCACATAATACATACAACAAGCACAAATTGTAGTCCAAACCTCCCAGCCTTTGCATTGATGCACGACAAAACACGACTGGGAGTAGAAATCTCTCAGCTTTTTAATTCACTCGCACAATCCGTTAGGAACAATACATTCTCTACCCGATAAGAGAATAAGTACCGAGATTTCCATGAACAAAATGAACCCTCTTATGTTTCCCTTCTCACGATTACACTCAGACCTGGAAACAGGATCACATCAAAATTGACCAAGACATATTTGCTCTCAAATCATATAAGCTCAATCAGACCTGGAAACAGGATCACATCAAAATTGACCAAGACATATTTGCTCTCAAATCATATAAGCTCAAATCACACCAGTAAATAAGCCACAGCAAAGCTACAAGCATCATAAGCTCAAATCACACCAAAGTAGCTGAATAATCATTACAAGATGGCTGCATATAAGTTCAAATCACATTACAATATAGCTGCATAAAAGAGAACTGAACTACAACCAAAGTAGCTGAATATAAGCCACAACAAAGCTACAAGCATCAAACAGAGTTACATCATGAGTTACAACATCAAACAGAGTTTTATCAAAGACAGACTTAACCTCCAAAGTTACAACCAAAGTAGTTGAATATAAGCTCAAATCACATTACAAGATAGCTGCATAAAAGAGAATGCTCAACCTGTGTTCCAACCACCCACCATTGATGCTATTCACTCGGATTTTTCAAGATAGCTTTGGGGAGAAAAGGAAATTAATGAACAAAAGCTTGTAATTGAACTCTATTTGTTCCATGTAACAATTTCAATCTGAAACTCTGAAACTACCAAAATCCAACTAATCATACCAAAATAAGGGTTACACGAACAGATATTGACAGTTAAAACTTGGTTTTCCCTTTTCAGTGCGTCCTGTTCTACAGGATAAGGTTAAGAATAGAACAAAGGGCCCACTGTCTCGAGTGAAATATAACATGACATATTTCTATTTATAGGTAGAAACTTCAAAATCATGCTACACAAAAATAGGTAAACAAAGATGTCAACATGTTCTGTATCTCTGGACTGCCAAGGAAATCTATATCATCCTTTCCCTATCATGCTCCCAACATTGATGTATACAACATCTACACTGAGAGCTGAAACTTACTAAAAAAATGACAACCCTAGACAAATCTTACAAGCAGAGGAAAATGGATGAAGACGAAGGATTAAAATACTAAATATGAATATCTTGCTGCATTCCTCAGAGACAAAGAGTTAAATATTTCCTCACAGGGAACTTGTTTCATGTTTGAGGCACATTATCTAACAAATTAAATTAGAATCACCTTAGAAACATATGATTGCAGAGATGATAAAAAATTAAGTATTCACTTCCCCACAAAGATGAATAGTTAACTGATCAACAATATTGAAGGTTTGCTCCCTATGGATAGCTTTCATGCTTAGCACAGAAAATCAAGTTCACCCAAACAGCATATGACTATTCAATTATTTCATGCGCAAAATACTCAAGGTGCTACCAAACAGAAAAACTTTTGCGCAGCTTATAAGAATGTTCAACAAAAATATGAATTGTGTTACCTGGTTCCGTGCTCGCAGTACTTCCTCTTCCGACACTTGGTAAGCCAATCTCCGAAGCTCTTCCATTATAACAGTTGACAAGGTCTCCACTGAATCAGGCTGCAATTATAAAGACGTGGAATGAGAGAGCAAGATGCATTGCGAGAAGAAAATAGCTAATGAAGTGAATGTGAAATTGTACTACACACTCAACAGAAGCTAGAACCACATAAAACACTAGTGTACCTTTACCATATGAAAATTATGAGCATCAGTAGGTCAGGATAATGATATTAAAACTATGCTTAAGCAAATGTATAGCATGATATCCATATAACACCACACCCATGACTAGGACCGCAGACAAATTACATTTGAGATAAAACTAGATGCAATTACGAGTTACTGAAGAGAAGCTAGCTTACAGGGGAAGTGGAATAGACACAAGTGAGTATTCTTATACAAAGACAGTAATCGACTAGAAAAACAGAAAAAACATGTGAATATAATCTCCCGTTTTCTCTTTTTCCATAATTCCCTTTTTCTCTCCTCTTTCATTCCAGACAGTCAAGACTGCTGTGACTTGCCAGGATTTATGAGGGATCTCACAAAAAATACATAATGAGTAGTTTGTAGATTGAAGAATTCACATATGTACCTCAGCGACGGATCTCGAGGTGGCGCTGGCGATGACGGCGAAGATCCCCATGACCTCCTCCTTCGAAGGCTCGAGATTCGTGAGCTGATGTCGTTGGAGGAGGGCTCGAGAACTCGTGAGCGGATTTGGGGAAGCGGCGGCTCTGTTGCAGGCGAAGGCTCGAGATCTCGTGAGCGGATTTGGGGAACGGCGGCAACGAGTCTCGCCGGAGGAGGGCTGATGTCGTCGGAGGAGGGCTGATGTTGTTTGAGTATGCTAGAAATTGATTTGAGATCAATTCAATATATATATGTGAATATAGGAGTGAAATCATGCACTATATAGACGAGCCTGAAATCTAGAAAAACGACCAGTTAAGAGTATACGTGTTTTACACACCGATATAATTCGAATATGGAAAAACTCAAAAGACATTAATTCTAAGGAGCCACTTTAGATTGAATATAAGGATGCACCTCTCAATACATTGATTGGGTTATTTCAATGGATGACTCGATCCATTTATCATGATCGAAATGTCTTAAAACTTCAATAAAATAAAAATCATGATGTTTCAATACTTCCAACACTTATTTTTTATTATCACTTTAGTTGTATTATCATAAATCTCAGTAAAGGTAGACACTTGGAAGAGAGAGGAGAGAGTGTGAAGAAGATAAAGGATGAGAGATTTTGATGGGTGAAACTGGGAGGGGTATTTTATGATATTAGAAAAATATAGTAGACACTGTGTGTACTACTAAGTAAGAAGTGCTAAAACACATTAATTTTATATTTTTGGAGTCCTACACAAGATAAATAACACAAGGAGCTGGGTTACATGGTTTTTTGAAATTTGGGGCATAGACACAATTTTAAAACAAAGAAAATATAGTATCGTGTTTGCACTTTTAGTAAAGAAAATTATTTCTTGATCTTTGGGATCATGTCATGATCCAAAAATTTTCCTATATGTTGCATACCAATTTTAGAAAGAATCAAATCATATAGAATGCGTGATAATGTAGGGGAATATTTTCACCTTCATTTCCCTCCATTTTAGAATAAATGATATATAACTAGGGTTAGCCTATTTATCTAGAGATACATATATCACTACTATAGATAAACATGATGAACCACATTTCTAAGAACCCTACCCTAGAGATACAGATAAATACCCACACTCAATGAAATCGACCAAAGAAATATAGAGTAAGGAGATAAGCATAATGCTTAAATTTAACAACAACTTCCATTTCCATTAGATCAATAAGGTATACATAAGCATGAAACAATCATTCAGGCATGGAGTATTCATTAATCTAGAAAACACTAAAAGACAATTTGATTTGATTAAATAATCTAGAAAATTTAGTAGGCTTTCAAGTAGTCTAGATTCACACCCTTTGGTATTTTCACATTAACTTTCAGCACATGTATTCAATGCAAACTTGATCTCAATTGAAACTAGACTTAAATATCTTATCACACTATATCTTAGAAACACCTGATGGACACATGACTAGGCTAGACAGCATACACAATTGGGCTAAACACTATCCAAAAGTATATAGTTAAGCCTATATCAATGACTAGGCTAGACAGCATACACAATTGGGCTAAACACTATCCAAAAGTATATAGTTAAGCCTATATCAATGATCGGTGCATATATCTCATTCATCAGGGCTAAACACTATCCAAAAGTATATAGTTAAGCCTATATCAATGATCGGTGCATATATCTCATTCATCATACATAGAACATAATCATAGTGTCATACATAAAAGCAAATATAATGAACTAAATATGACATAAGCAATTGTTCAGTTTAAATAGACAACGGAACCAAGATACTCAACAAATATCAATAAGTCTCATAGATACAAACAACATAAAAAGATATCACAAGTCGGATATTGATATCAACAACTCATATACATAAAAGCTATACCATATATCCTCATAAGTCTGAAACAACTACTATAACTGTCTATAAATATTAGAATTACTACATAACAGTGAAATGATAAAATTAAACACCAAGGTTTGGTTAAAAAAATATGAAACAGAACTAGGTAAATAGATAGACAAGCTAGTCATCAGAAACTCTATCTATGACAGACCATTGGACCCTAGTGTGCCTGAAAGTAAGGGTGGGAGATTTAGGGGTCACCACCAGTGCGCAAACAAGGCTGTTAGAAAGCCGTCTAGCAAGTGGTAAAATAAAGGAGTGGTTTGTGCATATATAATGTGTATCATGAATGCATAACTGGTTTAAACATAAGAAAGACTACAAAACTATATCATTTTACTTACTTTCATAAAAAGATCATGTATCTCAAAAATCCAAAACATAGAATAGAGCAGACGTAGATAACCAACATAAAGATAACAATGAGAGTGCACCTACTTTTTCAGGTGTGATGTTCAGACAGTGTGCATATCTAACTAACATTAGATTTTACTTAATTTTATTTAGGGAATGCTCTCATTGGAAAATGTGCATTTAGTACACCTGTTGGAAAAATTACATGGTACTTTACTTAGTTTTAAGTGCATAGACTAATCTAGCACTAGTGCTCTAGCATAACCTTGGGCCACACGTTATCTATGAGATATCCAAATCCCTTCTGTAGATAAACCCAAATGAACAATTTCATTAATTGGTTATATATGATGTGTTATGCATTAGTCCCGAATAACTCAATTGTAGAGGTTATCCATCTCGTGTGTGCACCCTCTTCGACTAGGTTTCCAAAGTAAACAAAACATGCCCATTAAATTCCAAAGAAAGTCATCATGACTTGATGCACATATATACTTGATCTCTTTCTTAGTTTCTCTTTCTTGGTTTATAATGTTTTATATGCAATCAAGTTTTTAGTGGTGGAGAATCATAAGCCTCCACTCACAGTTGTATCTCAAACTGAGAACTTTCTTGATTTCAAAATAGACAATATTCTTGATTTAGTATCATAAGGGACACACTCAATATCCAAATATGGGTAATCATTGTCATCATATATGTATACCACGTTATGATGCCTAATCATGCATACATCTAGGGCTAAGTGTCATGATAACGTACTGAGCAAATAAAAGTCCATGATATAACCTAAGCCAACATGCATAATGTCTATGAATTCTAGGCTAGAGCATAGCATAGCATAACATGAAAAAACATAAAATAACAACATGCGATAGCATATCACAACATGCCTTACTTGCATACTTAAATATGAATAAATCATAAATTCATCAAAGCAACATAAACATGTAAATATAGCCTTGCAATTAAAAATATCATCTACTTTACCAAAGATGCTAAGATGGCAATAAAAAGTTTAATTGCATAACTAATATCATTATCTGGCAATGAAACCAAAGAAACATGGAAATGAGTGTAGGATCTGAAATAGATACACTTGAACACTAGAGGGGGGTTGAATAGTGTTCTTTTAAAATTAATGCAAAGTATATTATAAATTGCAAAGAAAAATGGCAATCTCAGGAATTCACAATCACAAACACAAGGATTTTATACTGGTTCCACCAATCCGGTGTACATCCAGTACCCAAGCAAATCCCGCTTGAGAGTTTCCACTATGATTTTGAATAAACTTACAAAATCAAACGCAAACCTGACCAATTTGCAAGTCCCTACAAATTACAACACCAATTGACAAACACCTTGCCAATTTGAACACCAATCTCTAAACCAAGAGATCAACCCTCTCAAATCCGAGAGAAATCCTTGTTGAAGAAAGAACACAATTGATCCTATAAGCCTTGAATGTGTAGTGAAGTGCAGCAGTGGCTTAGGATGCTTTTAACCTCTGTAAATTGCCTAAATGATATGTATTTGATGAATGTTTGGAGGCCATTTCAGAAACTTCTCTTTTTCACAAAATCTGAATATTTTTCACTTGAAAAATTGCACAAAGATCAAAGCTTATGGGTATGAAAGTCTCTGCAATTTTTCTGAACAAATAACCTATTTATAGCCCTTGAAAAGACAATTTTTTTAAACTTTAAAAACGGCTATAAACTGTCAGATATTCAAACTTTAAAAACAGGAAAAACTGTATCTTTAGTCGACTACTGTTGACATTAGTCGACTACACTGAGTTCAAATAGACTCTGTGTTTTTAGGAAATTTTCTCAGTAGTCGACTACAAAGCCCATTAGTCGACTACACTGTATTTTGACAGAAACTGATAAAATGAAATTTGAGTTCAGTAGTCGACTACTGTTGAAATTAGTCGACTATACTGTAAAATAACAGAAACTTATGTTTCTGTCAAACACCTAAGTAGTCGACTATAATCACTATTAGTCGACTATACTGTAAATTGACAGAAACATGTATTTGAGTTTTATATATGAGTAGTTGACTACTATTCTAATTAGTCGACTACTAAGAGTAAAAATTCTACTATAAGGAGTTTTTATAATCAAGTTTTAACTATAATTCTAATGGTTAACATAGGGGATTTCTATAGTTAACCAACACACTAAGCCTGTGTTAGTGTGTTCTAAAATTGTGTGTGTGCGTGTGTGTGATCAAGGCTTGTATAATTATTCTAAGTAAAGAAAATGTAAAATACATTATCTCTTTTGTTCTTCATTTTCTTCACTTCAAAATGCCTTGAAATCAACTTGCACTTGTACATATTCTGATATTGAAATCTGCATATAAAAATTAGTGCACACACTGTATAAATTGTTATCATCAAAACACTATCATGGAGATATGATATTCAACATTCTCCCCCTTTTTGATGATAATAAATAATTTATGCATCAGATTAAAACTTAAAATAATCATACTTATGTTGGCCTTCTTATTTTGATGATGTTTAACAAACAATTTATAACTAATGTTGTTTGTTTAGTGCTTGTATTATCTATTCATTGTAGACAAACAACGTTGTTGGAGGATGGATGGAATTGCGCTTCAACGATGATATCCAAAGGAGGTTGGTGGAATGTCGGGTTGAAGCCTAGTTAAAGATCAAGTTCAAACTTCATCCGTAAGTGTACCAAGTCAAGCTTAATTGAAGATCAAGATTGCTTGGGTAATGTAGTTTTAGATTTTATACTATGTGTGTTATATACTCTAAGCTCAATATCTATACACACACATTTATTGGTTTCTTCGTGTATATATATAGTTATATATATATACATAAGTTTTGGTTTCTATACATATATATAGTTATACATATACATACATGTGTTTTGAGTTTTT